TAATTGATATCTTGGTAAGAATTTTATGAAAATTCTATTAAAAAATTTTAATTTTATTTTTATAGGATAATTAAATTTTTGAAAATAATTAATTAAAAATTTTTAAATAATTGAAATTTCACAAAATTTTATTGAAAATAATTTAATTTTTGTAAAGTTTTGGTAAAAGTTTGTTTAAATTTATGCGGATATTCGAGTTGTTAAGGAATTTTAATTGAAAAATTTGAAAATGTTTCAGTTTTCATTTTTAAGTTGAATATTGAAAATTCTCAACTTTCAAAAATTGAAAACTATTGTTTGTTTTTAAAAAATTTTATTAAAATATCAAAATATTCAAGTTTTTTAAAGAATTTATATAATTGAAAATTTCGATAATATGTAATTGAATTTTGAATTTTGATTTTTACAATAATGAAGTTGTTCACAAATAAATTTTTAAGTATTTTTTTCTTCATCTAATCATTTTTAGAGTGAATCATAATTTTTTAAGTTTCTAAAACCAATTTTTTTCAAAAATTATTTATTAATATTTTCTAGATTTTAATCAAACAAAAAATCACTGTTCTTTATATCAAAAGCTTTAGCTTAAAAGCTCTAAGAATTCCTGGGTTAGCAGTAAACATCGAGATAACTTATTTTTGTATCTTGAAAATCTTGAAAAGCTCATAAATTCTTTTTAATGCAACTAAACCTTATCTGGAGATTTGAATTAAAATTTTTGATTCTAAAAATTATCTTCTATTTCTATAATTGAACAGTCTTTGAAGTTTTTTTATTGGTTTCGTGGAAAAAGTGAAAATCAAAGAAAAAACAATTCAATTTTTGTGACTACATTCATCGAGTAATTCTTAATTTCAGTTCATTTGAAAAGAAAAGAATTATTTGAAGAAGAGAAAATGGATAATAGATAAAATTAATAAATTAAAAATTTTCCTCTCCTGGCCAACTTTCACATTATGAAAATTTTCATTATCAAAACTCAAAGGCAGAAAAGTTATTTCACTGGTTCTGGAGATTTAATTCCAGCGAATAAACTATGGTTGGAACTTTTGAAAGTTTTGAGCGTGATGGTTTAAAGCTCTGAAACTCGTGCACAATATGCTCTCTCTCGCAGATCTTTATTCACAAGTGTCGTCAAAGAACTGATTAAAACCGAGATTATTATCCGGGGGCCTCCAGAATCTAAATGGCTATCTTCTGATGAATTTTTTTTTTATTCAAATTCACTTCTTTTTTTTCATTTTTATATTGAATTTATCCTGGATGTAGTTTTTTTTAAGATAGATTTTCTCATTTCTTATCGCAGTAATCATAGTAAAATGAAAAAAAGAAGATCCATCGAAAAGTATTGTAGGAGAAAATTTCTATTCAGAAGAATATATATATGGGTGGTAGTTGAAAAAAAGTATCAGAATATTCTTGGAATTTCAATTTCAGAATATAAAGAATAAGGCAAGAGAAAATGTCTTCGCCCTTGCATCCTATCTTTTCTTTTATATGCTCTTTTTTCTCTGTTGTGCATCTGTAGAATAGAAAAAGTCAGAAGATGGATCGATTTTACTTCCAAAGACCCGGACGTGCCCGAAGGACAAATTTTGTCTTCGTCTTTGGATCAAGTAATAGAAATAAAAAGAAAATGAAGGGAGGAGCAAAAAATTTTTTATCAAGACTCGAACCTTGGGAAATTTATAGTGTTAGATATATTCGGCTTGAGCTTTTCCATCAAGTAGTAAACTTAAAGGAAAAAACAGTTACAATACAGTTTTTATTAAAAATAATGTTGATCTAAATTTTTACAAAAAATTTACCAAAAGAATAAAATTTTTTTTGAACAAAATGCATAATTCAAAGTTTTACGTTTGTATTAAAAACGAAACGTATAATGAAAAGAAGATAAAGTATAACAAAACTGACATACTGACTTTTATTCCAAACATTCTGACTTTCATTATCCCAATTCGTCTCAAACGAAACAATGCCCTTTTTCTCTGCTATCAATTGTCATGTGCACAAAGTCATTGTTTTTACCTTTAAAACATAAATATATCTTGGGCAAACATTTTTTTTCTACAGAAACTCTCCAATTTTCTCCAACTCTCCAACTTTTGTTCATGAATTTAAAAAATTAAAGATTCTGGTTTATAAAACCAGAATCTTTAATTTTGAAAATTCATAAACCTGCAGGTTCTGTTGGTTTTCACATGTATTTAAAATGATTGTTTGGTGCCAAGTGTGCAAAGTTTCATTATAAGAATGGTCGATTAAAAACCAATTATTCCCGGCATTCGATCCAATGAACTTTTAATCAAACGGTTCTTTGCGAAAAATTCCAAATTCTATCCAATAGAATCTTTGACAATTTGATCTAATAAATTCTGCATGAAATGAATGACGATTTACTAATTCGGTTCAATGGGTTTTTGATTGATTTGTCAATTCAGGTGATGATCAAACGCAACCAGGTGGTTCTTTGATTGATTAGAAATTTTATCGAATGACAACTTGTTTTTTCGTGTTCTGGTAATATTTGGAGAATTTTATGAACGACGTAGGAAATTGTGGTTTTAGTAAACGGAATTATTAATTTTGATCTTGAGGCTAAATTAGAAGTGTAGGATTTACTAAAGGGTGGACTTATGCTTGTGAATAGTGGGTCAAAAGTAACATCACGGAGAGAATTCTGTTGCGATTTGCATATGAACAGGTGTCATGAATATAACATTAGATATTAGGACGACTTGGTACGGAATAGAATTTTCATTCAGCAAATCTGACTTGGAGGTGAATTATAATTTTGTAGACTTCGCCTAAAGTTTATGGTGTATGAAACATATAACATGAAACTCATTTGACTGACTTGATATTTGATGAGAATTCAAGACAGAATTAACAAACATTTTCAGGAAACAAAACAAATTTTACAAGAATGTTGTCAATGTTGATACAAGTTTAGATTCTGTAGCGTTACAAGAAACAAAATTATCTAACGAAAGCAGCAACTGAAAAGTCCTGCAACAATGAAATCAAATTGACAACATATTTGGCATGAAAATGAATAATCATTCGAGAAGCTTGACATGTATCTGAAAGGAAAAAGCACGAAACTATAAAACTCATTTTAATATTATTACTTTAATGAGATTTTTCTGTGCTCTTGATGTAACAACGGATTTGTAATTTAAGGTCGATGAAGTGTCTATTCTCTTGAATGAAAATTCTATTACATATCAAGCAGTCGAAATGACAATTCTCTTGAGTGACAAGTCAGTTAACTGCGGTGATTCCGTTAAATGACAATTCCGTTACATGCTGCTCTGTTAAATGACAGTTCTGTTTCTTATCAGTTCGAGAATATTAAAGCTCCTCTTATTTCCACATTTCACACGGATCGTGCAATTTGTACTGAGTATTATGAAGTATTCCATACTTATTGTTCTCTTTAACAAAATTAACAAATCGATTGGCTCTATAAACATTTTGTAACTATTATTCCTTTCTTCTATTTTTAATAATCCTCAATTTCTTGCTTTTCAGAATGGCAGAATTGTAATTTGGAAATGTGGAGATGGACTCAACAACATGAAAAACCAACTTCGAATTTACATCTTATTGGCTATAATTCACTATTTCTTGCTGTTCATAAGAATTAAGATGGTTCCACGACATGAAAAACCAAATTCGAATTTACCTCTTGTTGGCTATAATTCACTATTTCTTGCTGTTCATAATAATTAAAATGACTCCAGGACATAAAAAACCAAATTCGAATTTACCTCTTTTTGGTTAGAATTTACCTCTTGTTGGCTATAATTCACTATTTCTTGCTGTTCATAAAAATTATTACTGATAACATTAACTACCACCAAGAATAAGTTGTTTACATTCTTTTCATCTATATTTTAACCAATTAGAACCAGCTTTGGGTACAACATGTTTTCTAATCCTAATACTACTTCCTTTTTTGATTGAGACTATTAACTGCATGAGAAGGTTACATCACTACAATTCAATACAATTTGTGGTCTTCTTTTAAGAGCCTTAGAAATCTGTGTAAACCTTCATTAATTTTGTTTTAATACCTACAATTGCTTTTCATTCGAAACTTGTTCTAATTATTGTTCTACTTGATTCTTCTGATTCACTGTTGTAATTGAGGGCTCGGATCGAAGAACCGACGCTTCGCAATGTTCTGTGCGTTTACAAGCGTCGGTTCCTCGATCCGAGCCCTCAATTACAGTTGTAATAAATCATTAATTAATGATTTCTTAGTTTTAATTAACTGACATTTGACACCTTCGATATCTTTAGTTGCAAAGCTCATGATACTTGTTGACGCTGCTAAACAATAGAATTATTTACTTCATTGTTAAGGAACAAACTTCAAGTACTAGGCCTTTTGTTGTTTTTTTAAAAACAGAAAAATCCTTCTTTCTGAAATCCTTCAGAAAGAAGGATCTTTCTGTTCTTAAAAAAACAACAAAGGGCTTTCCTTCTAAACCAATTTTCGTTCATCTCCTCTCGAAACAAAGCACCTCAGAGAGTGTGTCACATATCGTAGATTAGAAAAAGGCAAACCTAAGTAGTAGTAGTGGTAGTAGGCAAACGGGGCCCCGTGTAGGGATTCGTAAAAGCGATGTCAACTTGATGATGATATACTGTTGCATTCTTCGCCCCCCTTCCCATCCTTGGCATGCTGATGATCTGCACCAGATGCGTGATATCGGCCACGCTGTATTCTATAGGGCACCAGATATTTCTCTACAATATACAGTCTCTCTCTTTGTATATATATAGTCACACAAGGGGGTGAAATCTACTTTGTGAGGTGTGCGGGTTTTGATATTATATGGAGGCCAGTGGTGAATCGAAAAAGAGAGGGTGAATGTAAAAGAGGCGAGGTCCGAAGTGGGGGAGGAGAGTGAGTGAGAGAGAGAGGAAAAAAGTTCCCCATTTTTTTCTTCATCTCATCTCTCTATATATCCAACACCGATCTCCAACTAACACAACACACCAGGGTCCACATCAGGGCGGCACGACGATTTCAGTTCTTCGCGGGCTTCACGACGGCTCGCACACGCGTTTTATCCCCCCAAAAACGATCGATTCCAGGAAACGCGCACGTTTCCCAGCATCCTTTTCCACTCCAAAAAGTCGTTCTCATCAACCCTCCTCCTAATAGTGATTGCAGTGCGTTTTGTGTCGTCGAACCCGTTACGCGAACGTTTATTCCTCCTGAATAGATACATCACTTTTTTATTATTATTTAACAAAAAAAAAAAAAAATTTAGAAAGAGGGAAAAGTATCTTCATTTTTTTGAATTCTCCTTTTTTTAGTGTTTGTGCGCAAGGATTTTTATTCACAACAACAAAAATTACAGTTTGATACCAGTATATATATACAACGACGGCAGGAAAATTATCCAAGGTTCGTAAACAAAATTCTTCGCGCGCTTTTACTTTTTTGGGGGAGAAAAATTCATCCCTTCTGTTTCGACCCTTTGTCTAAAAGTATGTTTTTATTATAGAATTTTTGTATTCTAAAATTAAAACTTTGGTTTTGGTTCTTGGTCTATTGTCCTTAAATTTTGATTTTGAACAGTAAACATTTTAGTTCCCTGAGAAAAATACTAGTTTTATTTTTTCAATTTAGTTTTTGAATTGTAGAATCATAAGCATAAGGCATAACTAGAAATAGGAATTATTTATCAATTTGATCTTGATAAAATATATAGGATACTTTTATAGAGTAATTGGGAGTAGTTTGAAGGTATTACATATATACATGACCTACTGCAATATCCATGTAATGTAGATCGAATTGAGACAATTGATAATTTGTAATTAAAGGGCGATAAAAGTAAAAATAGAAAATAAAAAAGTGTCTGTACATATGTATATAAAGAGAAGGCAGTATAAGCCCATATAGAGTTGAGCAAAACGAATACATCCTCGGCTAATTAGAATATAGCTGTTTTTTATGAGCGTGGAAGAGGAAGAGGGAGCCGATGGTTTTGTGGTTTAGAAGAGGGTGAAAGGGGGGGTTTAGAAGAGACAAGTATGATCGTGATATATTTTATTACAACGGACCCCCTGCCGGACATGCATATTTAACGCTTCTTCATGTCCGATATATAAATTCACTGCAAATACCCTCTTTTTTTTCTCTCATTCCAAATATGAAAATTTTCATATTTTTTTCCACGAATTCATCTCTTTGGTTTTTTCGTTTTTTTTAAAAATCTTTTTTGCTCTTTGTTTTTAAATCTAGGAGAGAAATTTCCATTTTTTTTGCGGCTCTAATGGACTTTGCGGACAGAGTTTGAACGTCTGTTGATTTTTCAACATTGTTGTCGTTTCGGGATTTAAATTTGCATTTTTCCTATTTTCCGAACGATTTTCCAAATATTCGTGAAATTTTCGACCATTTCACAAAGAGATTGAATCAATATTTGTGGGGGGATTTTTTTTATCTTTTGTTGAAATAGATTTGGGAACTAAAAGTGACTGATTTGATTTTTCTTTGATTAACTAAAAGTTTTTCTTATTAACTAAAAGATTTTTTTATTAACTAACGGTTTCTTTTATTAACTAAAATTTTTTTATTTCTGAAAAACTATTGATTTTAAAAATGACAATTTTTGTTGTCAAATTTGAAAAAAACTACCTTTTAGAAATTTAAATTTTTTGGAATCATTTTGTTATAAATTATTTACAAATTATTATAAATTTTCATAAATTATTGTAAATTATTTATAAATTGTTATATATTATTTATAAATTGTTATACATTATTTATAAATTGTTATGAATTGTTTATAAATTATTTATAAATTGTTTTAAATTGTTATTAATTTTTATTTAAGAAAAATAAAAATATAATTATAGAAGTAAAAATATTAAAATTTATACCGAAAAAAGCTTTCGTTCATTATATGAACATTAAAAAACTTGTGGATTGTGATTTAGAAGAAAGAAAGAGAGAAGGGGAGAGAGAATAAAATCTCACTTATTGTTCGTGAATTTTCTCACTCGGGGGATAAAATTTGAAGATTCTTTTATCCTGGATTTTCTTTTCAAATAATAAAATTTCATATTTATTATTTTCCGAACAAAATGTTCAAGTTTCTTATAGATTTTCCTGTCACTCTAGACAAAATTTTCAATTATTGACTTTCGGATGTACGTATTGTTTATTTAGAAAAAAATATTTTTGTAATTTTATTTTTGTAAATAAATAAGGAAAATAATTATAATAATTATTAATTAATATGCAATTAATATTTAACCTTGTTTTCTTTAAAAAAAATTCAAAAAATAGTTCAAAAAAAAATTCTTGACTAAAAATTCTTCTGTAAACATTCTCGACAAACAAAATATTCTAACATTCCTCTTCTTCTTCTTTTTTCTGTTTTTTAATTAAGAATAAAATTCCATTATTATTTTTTCATTCACGAGGAATTAATTAACTTTTTAAATTGTTCTTTTTTTGGTTTTATTTTCGTTCCTTTGGGCCATATAGCTTTTGTTTGGCCGAGATCTGCCGATGAAAGCTGGAAATTCTCTGCGGGATATGCGATAACCGATAATCAGCCGAGCGTATTGAAAGAAATGTTTCCTTGGCCTCTCGACTCACTTTTTTTCTTTTTTCTTTTTTTTGCTTGTTTTTTTAGTTAAGATTGAGATTCTTTTTGAATAAAGCCAACATTTAGTACTTTTTCTCCATATATATATTTTTTTTGTCCTCCAAAAAGCCTTTTAGGCAAGATTAATTTTTCACGTTGTATCCGTAGTATTACATTTAGAGCTTTATTTACTTCTTTAATGTACTCTTGTCTGAGCTTATAAATTTGATGCACTTTTGTCATTCTTTTCTTTTCTTTTCTTTTCTGTTTTTTGACATTTTAAATCAATTTAATAATAGATCAATTTAATAATAATTAAATTTAAAATTTAAACAATAAAATAACAATAAAGTTTCAATTTTATTTGTTTATTTCAATTTTACTTGAATTTGAAAAAAAAATTAATTAATTTTAATTAATTAAAACTAAAATTGAAACTTCATTGTTATTTTATTATTAAAATTCAAAAAAAAAATTTTTTTTAATTTTTAATGTCCGAAAATTCAAAACATGAAGGGGATAAAAATTAGTTAACAATATTTTTCATAATTATTATTAATATTTGTTTTTACTTTATTATCTAAACGAGTAAATTAAGAAAAACGATATTCGTTCCTTTTTTGACAAAATATCCAAATGAGTTCCTTTAAAATTCTTGATCATCAACTTCCTTCAAGGGACAATTTATCTATTGAGAAGAGCAATCTTCACTCTTTCTCTAAACTCTCTCGATAAAATTAAAAATAATCCAACAGTCAATCTTAATTAATTTCTCTCGACCTTTCGGAGAATTTCCGGTTCATCTTATTTTTATTTATAAATAAAAATAAAATGATAACCGGAAATTCTCCGAAAGGTCGAGAGCACTTAAAAATTAATATTATTTTTCTTAATTTTCTCCTTTTTTGTGTACAAAATATTTTTGTTATTCTTTAGTATTAAAGAAAGATTTTAAAAAAAAGTAGGGAAAGAAATGACGAGCATAACTGGAGCAAAAAAAAACTTTTTTTTTTTAATTTTCAATGTTTAATTTTTAATATCACAATTTCTCTCTAGTGAGAAACGTCGCAACAATGTCACGTGCCTATATGCTTGCAATGTAAAAAAGTGAGAAAAAAAACGGACGGAATGCCTTCGTTGACATCGAGTTGGCTGTGTTCCAAAAAGCACATATGTTCACCGGAGAATCAACAGTGCGAAAAGAGGCCGACAAGAGTATGATTACACCCCTTTCACACGGGGGTTAATTCGCGAAAAGAGACGATGTTTTCATTAAATTGAAAAAATGCGAAAATCAATTTTCAATATATTATATTTATTTGACAGTTTTCGACTCATCGTTAATATTTATATACGCAAAACGCTCGGGTAAATTTTATAATAATTTTTCATTTGTTTATTTTAATGTCTTAAAAAAAAAATTTACATAATCGAAATTTTTTTCTATGGAAATTAATTTTGCTATTTTACAGTAAAAAAAATGTAAACAAATTAATACAAAAAAAGCTCGGGTAAATTTTATAAATTTTTTTTTGTCACTAAAAGCTACTATTTCTGTTTTTTTTTTAGAATTTCCACTACGTTAAATTCGCTAATACTAGAAATCAAAAAACTATTCTCAAAAATTATAATCAAATTCTTTAAAACGATTCAATTATTTTCAAAAAATATTCGAAATTCAATTTTATTCGATGTCTCATAAAATTACGCAAAAGAATTCAATTATTTAAAAAATAATTGATAAAATTTATTCAAAATTCAAATATTTTCATAAATAATAAAATTTCCACAGGAATTCAATTAATTTAGAAATATTATTTTTAAAAAAATATTGAAAAAATCAATTATTTAACAAAATTTTTATACCAATCTTCACAATAATTCAATTACTTTCACTAATAATAATACTTTTCATGAAAATTCATGTTTTAAAAAATTTTTTGATAAAATTCTAAACAAGAATTCAATTATTTTCATAAATAATCAAATTCTGCAAAATAATTCAATTATTCTTAATACTATTTTAAATTAATTAATCAAAAAATTCAATTATTTTCAAAAATAAAGTTTTTCTAAGAATTTATTAATTTATTATTTAAAATAAAATTTTCATAATATTTATTATCTTTCGAAAAAATCAATTATTTACAAAAATAATAGAATTTTTCACAGGAATTCAATTATTTTCAATTATTTTTAAAAAATAAAAAATTTTTAAATTTTGTTCCAAAGAAATCAATTATTTTAAATAAAATTTTAATTAATTTTTTTCATATAATTCAATGATTGTTTTAGATTTTAATAAAATTCTTCCCAAGAATTCAATTATTTATATAAAAATAATTCTTCGAAAGAACCCTATTATGTCGATAAATAACAAAATTATTCTTTATAAATTCAATTATTTTGAGGCATTTTAATGAAATTCTTTGCAAAATTCAATTATCTTTATAAATAACAATATTCATCACAAGAATTCAATTATTTTTACAAAACCAAATTTTTTTACAGAAATTCAATTCTTTTTAAACATTTTAATAAATTTTTTCGCAATAATTAAATTATTTTTGAAAATTTTAATAAACTTCTTTGCAACTATTCAATTATTTTCATAAATAATATAAAATTCATCACAGGATTTCAATTATTTTTAATACAATTTTACAGGAATTATACTCAAAAAATGTAATTATTTATAAAAAATTTAATTTCAATTCCTCGAAAAAATCAATTATTAGAAAAATGTTATTTTTTAAATTCTTTGGAAGAATTCAATTATTTACAAAAATATTAAAATTTTTGA